CAAGCAAGAAAGTGTATATAATTAAAGTCTAAAGTTTAGTCCGTTTGAACATATATATGCATCACCCACATAGTGGATATATCTATCACCCCAGAAAGTTTCCTTGTGCTCCGGCCAATTCCTCCCTCACATTCCCACCTCAGGAAACCACTGATTGGCTTTCTGTTACAATAGAATTATTTCCATTTCCTAAGTTTTTATATTTTGAAATCATATGCTATGGACATTATTTTGCTTTGATGTTTTTTTTGCTCAGAAAAATTATCTGAGCAAAAAATAATATCTGTACCAATTTTGTTATGTATGTGAAGAGATTACTCTGCTAAACCAAGTAGTATTCCTTGAACTCGATATGCCACAACTTCTTTTGGTCATTTACATGTGAATGGATTAGAATGGCAATTAAAAATAGAGTTTCTATCAATAGATTTTCATGAATATATCACTCTTTTTTTTCATTGGAGTGGAATGGTGGTGGCCTATGCCAGGGGGTTTGGTAGAGAGGTTTAATATTTTGAAGCAGGTTGCAGCTGTTGGGGTGCTTGGGTTGCTGAGTCGGTTAAGTGTCTGACATTGATTTTGGCTCAGGTCATGATCTCCTTGGTGATGAGATGAAGCCCCAAATAGGGCTCCATGCTCAGTGGGGAGTCCGGTTGAGATTCTGTCCCTCTGCCTCTCCCTCTGCCCCTCACCCCACTCACTTTCACTCCCTCTCACACAAAGAAATCAACCTTGAAAAGAAAAAAAAAAGATTTCCAAACTATTTCCTAGAGTAGTTGTAGAATTTAACATTCCTATCAGCAGTGTATGAGAATTTCAGCTCCTACACATCTTTGCCAATACTTGGAATGGAAATTCTTTTCATTTTTGCCATTGTAATTGGCAGATAGTGGTTTAAGTTTGCATTTTTCTAATGACTAATGATGTAGACCTTGTCATGTTCTTACATGCCTTCCATATATGTTCTCGGCTGAACTGTCTACAAATCTTTTACCCAAATTATTTTCTTATTTTCTTACTTGAAAGAGAGAGAGAGAGAGCAAGAGCGGGGGGGTGGGGTGGGGTGGGGAGGGCAGAGAGAGGAGAAACACACTCCCCTGTCAGTGGGAAGACTGACAGAGGGGGGCAGGGCTAGATCCCAGGTCCCTGAGATAATGACCTGAGCCAAAGGCAGCTGCTTCACCAACTGAGCCACCCAGGTACTTTTCTTTTACCCATTTTTAAATTGGATTGTTTGCCTTCTTACTATTGTCTTTGGAGAGATCTTTCAGTGTTCTATTAGGAGACCTTCATTAGATATATAATTTATCAATATTTTCTCCCTATGTGTGACTTGACTTTTCATCCTCTCACCAATGTCTTGTGAAGAACAAAAGTTTTAAATTTTGACTAAGTCCAATGTATCCATTTGTTCTTTCATCAATCACAATTTTGGTGTCATATCTAAGAGATCATTGTCCCAGGGCTCCTGGGTGGCTCATTCTGTTGAGTGTTTGCCCTCGACTCAGTTCAGGATCCCAGAGTCCTGGGATCTAGCCCACCATCGGGCTCCTTGCTCAGCAGGGAGCCTGCCTCTCCCTCTCCCTCTGCAGCTCCCCTGCTTGTGCTCTCTCTCTGTCAAATAAATAAATAAAATCTTTAAAAAAAAGAAATCATTGTCCAACTTAATGTTATAAAGATTTTTTTAACGATTTATTTACTAGGGAGCCGGGGAGGCTTGGTTCATTATGCATCTGCCTTCAGCTGAGGTCATGATCCCAGGGTTCTGGGATTGAGCCCACCGGCAGGGTCCCTGCTCAGCAGGGAGTATGCTTCTCCCTCTCCCTCTGCCTGCCCTTCTGCTTGTGTTCTCTCTATCTCCAATAAACAAATAAAATCTTTGTTTAAAAAGATTCTATTTATTTAATTTTAGAGAGAGTGACAGAAAGAGAGCAAGTGCGGGACAGAGGGAGAGAGGGAGAGAAACTGAAGCAGACTCCCCACTGTGTGCACAACCAACTCTGGGCTTGATCCCACAACCCATGAGATCAGGACCTGAGTCAAAATCAGGAGTCAGATGAGCCACCAACTGTGTCACGCAGGGGCTCCTAAAGATTTTTCTACTATGTTTTCTTGTAAAAGTTTTAACATTTTAATGTTTCTACTTAGGCCCTTACTCTCTTTTAGGCTAATTTCGGGGTGGTGTGAGTTATGGATCCAATTTTATGTATTTACTTATTTTCATATGCACACGTATATGTCATCCATATCCATGTGTTGAAAAGATTATACTTTACCACTTGCTGAAAGATTATACTTTTTTTTAAAGATTTATTTCTTTATTTTGGGGTGGAGAGGCAGAGAGAGAGAGAGAATCCCAAGCAGAGTCCCTGAGGAGGATGGAGCCAGAAGGTGGCTCGATCCCAGGACCCTGAGATCATGACCTGAGCTAAAATCAGGAGTCAGACATTTCACCAACTGAGCCACCCAGGTGCTCCAAAAGTTTATACTAGGTCATTTATATGTTTAAATGAATTTTAAAATAAACTGGTCACTTCCTATCAAAGATACAGGCTGAGATTTTGTGAGAGATGGAATTGAATCTATTGATCAAATGGGGAAAATTAAGGTTTGTACAGTATTGAATCTTATAATCCACGAATAAGGAATTTCTCTTCATTTTCTCTGGTTTCATTCATTTCTCTGTGAAATATTTTGTGATTTTCAGTCAGATCTATCCCTCAGTATTTCATGCTTCATGCTATTATAAATGATATCACTTTTCACATTTCAGTTAGGGATTGCGATCACATAAAGCACAGTTGAGTTTTATATATTGGTGTTATATCTTGATACAAACAAATGCATTTCAGATTCAAGCTAGATCTGGCAGTGAACATATCTTTGGAGATTTAGGTATTTGCGGGGTGAGAAGGACATTTCTCAGCAGCCGAAGAAAAAGGAATAACCCAACCCCTATCAAGTCTGGTTGGGAAGATTGTACAGGGTCTAATGGACCAATGCATGTGAAATGTTGTGTATGTTCACTAATAAACTTTCCTTGAGAGTCACCATTCAGTTGGTAAGGCTGCCAGTTTAGCTTGTGTTTAGCTGCAATACCACAGTTGCAAAATTTAGAGGCCAATGTTCTCTCTTATTATGTAATTTAGTCTTCAATCATCTATTCCCAGCATGATGTACTGCCAGAAGATTTACATCACTGTGCAATGAAATATCCATCGAATACCATGAATTGTGCCCCAGTCTGATCCGTCTTATTTCTATGTGATCTATTATAAAGTGACACCGACAGCATTTAAACAATTAATAGTGGCAGACTGAGGGAGTTTGGTTGTCTGACTCAGTTGCCTTAGGAGACAATGGCTCCGACTCCAAATCGGAAGTAGGTGTCCACTCCCATCAGACTGTAAGCCTCGGGTCCTGATTCTGCAACAGAATCTGTAGTCCTTTGTGTCAGCTTCATACCCCCAACAGAGAGGAAATGATCTTTCCTTAAAGTAAAGATTGGTGTGTGTAGCGTATTTATGTTAACTCTTTAGGCACTGAACTTAACATCCTGTCAGGTAAAGCTCGCGCAGCTGTGTGACTCACAAGGTCACATTCCCAGTGGCTCAGGTGACATGTCTCAAAGAAACCAAAGCATCCATTCAGTATTAGGTGTCTCTCCTAAAGTTCACTCTTGAAGGGCAAAAATGTGGCTCACAAACAGCCTGAAATGTGTTTGATATATGTTTGTCTAATGGTTTATTGAAGTCCAATTACCCAAATGACTTTCAGGATGGTTTGTTGTTTTTGTTTTTCCCAATGCTCTGCCTTTTTGACAGGACCCACGAGTCAATATACACATAGATTTATTCCAATTTGTTTATAATGAACCAATCATTGTGTACATGACATATAATTCTATACATTCCTTTTACCTGTTTACTTTCAGATGTTGAGATGATGGGACGTTACTTGCCTCTTCCACTGACATCCTGAATTACAATTCTGGTCTCTGTTTAAAAAAAAAAAAAAGCTGCTTTACCTTGTTATTCATCAAAGTCATCATAGGAGGTGTTTAAATCTGCATTGGGGGGGGCATCATTCCTTTTGAAAGATTTTATTTATTTTGGAGATAGTAAGTGTGAGCTGGGAGAACAGAGAGGAGATAAAGGTAGAAAGAAACTAAGTAGACCCTGTGCTGAGCATGGAGCCGAATATGGGTCTTGACCCCACTACCATGACATCATGACCCGAGCTAAAACCAAGAGTCAGACCCTTAAGTGCCCGAGCCACTCATGCACCCTTGGTGTTTCTAAGAAAAGAAAAGTCATTTTTCGCTCAAGCAAATAGAGGGTAATCTGTGAAGAATGATTGCAGATCATGGACTAAATATTTAGTGTCCAATGAATCCAAAATTTTGCTAGACATGTTTTCCCAAGATTGTGTAAAGTTACTATGAGTCAGCTCACCGGCAACTTCCAAAGCCCCAAACCTTTTTCTCCAAGACCTAGGGCATACTGTCACAAACTCAACCCAGCCCTTTCTTGAACCACAATTCAAGTGATCAGTTTTCTTGCATGACCCAACAGGCAGAGCAACTTTCCAGCTTGTTATGGGCATTAGGGTCTCCCGTTTCTGTTACCAATGGAAGTAAGGGGTTTGCTTCGTTATTTGGCATCTAGAGTCATGATTAGGGTCAAGTTTGTCTCCCCAGAAGTCATTAGGTGCTGTTAAATGCAGTAACTTTCCTCCCACTACACTACACTTGACCCCACTCAAGTATTATATTCCCTAAAATTTCACTTTCTGAGTAGATCGTTACTCTTTTTATTCAAGGCCCACCCAGGCAGCATTAAGATTATTATTAAAATCATGTGGCTTCAGATGCAAGGGTCCCCTACCCTGGCCCTTCCTGACCTTAGGGCAGAACTATCTGCAGTAAGAATGGACAACTCCAACCCTTATCCAAACATCACTGATCCCTCTCAGTACACACTTTCTTGGAGGACACCTACACTGTGGGTAGCTCCAAGTCGGAGCTAGGTGTCTGGGGCAGAGCCTCATGGTCACATCCTCCTCCTCTTGGAACCGGTGCTTCCCAGCAGCATAAACCACCACAATCCATCCTCTGGGGCTCCTCGGCAGGTGCACAGGTTCACCATGGACGAAGTTACTCTTCCAACCTCTTTGCCTAGCTCAGGCTGCTCCTTGCAGAGTTGGATGCTGCTGTATATAATCCTCAGTTTCCCCGGATTTTTCTGAAATCAACTTGTCCTTATTTTTACCTCCTTTGGCAACCACCTGCTCCACTATTGTCTTGTCCTTCCTAGGGTTATCCTCATCCTCCAAACCTGCTGATTTTCTATCTTCCATCTGCTCCCTCCATTCTCCGTTTTCAGTGTGGGCTCAGGTCAGGCTCCTGCAGGAGACACACAGGGAAGGGACCAAATCAGGTTTCAGCTGCAGTCCCCAGGGCTGCTTAACAGGCACCTCAGACCCTCCTGCACTCACAGAAACTGAGCAGGAAGACACTTTGGAGAATTTGAATAACAACCTCACCATACAGGAGAGGAAGCTGAGGCCCAGAGACGTTAAGAGATTTTCCCAAACATCTTCAACACTTAGTGGCAACGGTGCCCCCACACAGGCCTTGGCTGCAAGCTTCCCTGTGGAGGCTCTGGAACACACCCTCGAGAACCCCACATTTGAAATTCAGGGAACACTAAAATTAAAAGTTCAGCTTAAAAATAAAAAATTCAATTTCAGGAGACTTTGGATCAAATGTTGGTATTTCCACTGTTAAAAACAAGGCCTTTCTGGGGTGCCTGGGTGACTCAGTCATAAAGCTTCTGCCTTTGGTTCAGGTCAGGATCTGCAGGGTCCTGGGATCGAGTCCTGGATCGGGCTCCTGCTTGGCGGGAAGCCTACTTCTCCCTCTCCCACTCCCCCTGCTTGTGTTTCCTCTCTCACTGTGTCTCTCTTGGTCAAATAAATAAATAAAATCTTTAAAAAAAAAGGCCTTTCTTGGGACCAATCTTTTCTCCCATTTATATAATTCTGTTATTATATTAGCTTTTCCATCACTGGCTCAGGGATTAGGATCACAGAACACAAAAGTGTTAAATAATACTTACCATAGTCACAAATAAAAGGCACTTCGATGATTATCTATAAAATATCTGACTCCTGTGCTAAAGTTTTTTTCCTGAGAGCTGGCACTGGGTCTGCCTGCTCACCCAATGTCCCCCATGCCTCCGAGAGACTGCCAGGTGAAACATTCAGTAAATACTTGTGAAGCAGATAGATAAAAGTCACCAGCAATAACGAGCTTTTACTGATCTCCAGTCCCAACCATCTTTCCATTCAAACCCAATCCCGGTTCTGGGCTGAAGCAATAGAAGCACAGCCTTCAGAAAAGCAGTCCAAGATGCCAATAGCAGCTTCACCACATGTCCCATATGCTTTCGTGGATCACTTAATTATCTCTTTGAGCATATTTATCTCGTGTATGATAGAGAATGTAGAATATAACTTCAAGGAGGCAGCATGGACCACTGGAATGTTAGACGGGAAATGGGGTATCATGCAGCAGACAGGGGTCCCGTCCCTGGGCACCAGCTGCAGAGCTAAAGAACACCTCCATCAGAGTCACCGTGTGCCTCTTAGAATGCCCTGGGGATAAGGCCCATGAATCTACATTTCTGACAAAAGCTCCAAGGAGATTCTCAGGTATGGAAAAAGCCCGTTTTAAACAAAGAGCCGAGGATGGAGACTCTGAAAGACCCAGTGCTCACACCCTTCACCCAAAGTGGCTTTCAATGGAGAATGGGGACATTTCTGGGAAGGGCTCCTACTTGATCTGTGTCCTGCTTCTGTGATTTGGGTTTTTAGGCCTTCTGTTTGCCTGTAGGTTTCCTCCTCTGCTCTAATTGCTGGGGAATGTCAGCCCTCATGGGGGTCATTTCTTTATGAAGACCTCTGTCATTTATTCGCCTCCTGGACAAGGGACAGCGGAGATCAGGTCTGGGGTTCCACAGTTCTAGCCTTCCTCCTAAGCCACCTGGCTAAGCTGAAAGCATCATGACAGATCGAAATGAGGTCAGAGAAGAGGATCCCAGAGGAGTGAGATGCTGAGGGCAGGCCCTCTTCGGAGAGAGATCCACTACAAGGTCACTATCAGACCTGTTCAGGTGGGGGACGACTTACTGACCAATTCCGTGAGCAGAGAACCCACCCTCGTCATTCCAAACTCCTGAGCCAAAGGACAGCGAGATAACACATGTTGGTTGCTTTAAACCACTGCTTTTCTAATTGTTAATATGCATCAATAGAGAACTAGTTCAGATGCTTATCTCTACTTCCCCGGGTTTTTAATGTTTAGAAACATGTATGCTAATCTCTACCAAGGAAAAAAATTTGAGAATGCACTGGGAGGGCGGGTAGGCGGGTGGGGGCGGAGCCACGGCCAGAAGTAGAATAGTGGAGGCAGTGGAAGCTCTGGCAGCTCAGGACTGAGAGCAAGTCAGAATTACCCTGATGCTTCAGAGGCTCTTCAGTTTCTCCTCTCTCATTCGGTCTGCAGTCTCACTTCATTTGAGGAGCAACACTGGTGTTACCGCGGTGGCATTTAATAAAGAACTTGGTCCTGTACAGAAACTCATCGTGGACAAGATTAGAGAATACAGAACTAAGCTACGGGCATCTGGAGGACCCGCTGATACTGGCCCAGAGCACCAGCGAGACCTTGGGAGGGAGCTTCTGAAGCTTAAGTGCACATATGGTAAAACAGACATGAATACGTTCCTGGACTTCACATTTGAAAATCCTAAATTTGAAGTCATCGAGAAGCCCCAGTCCTGGAAAACCCATGTAAAATTTATTTGGAAATTTCACCTAGATTAGTTGTACAACTGGATCAGAATAAACAGTTCTCAACTGTCAAATGTTCTTTTGAATTCTGATTCCAAATAAATTATTTGGTGATGTTGGATGTAGAAAAAAAAAACAAAAACAAAAACCCAATAACCACAGTAAACATCTGTTCCTCACCTTCACGTGATGTTCGTTAGCCCTTGTCACATGAAGGACACCGTGAAGGGCATTTCCTATTTACAATAGATTCTTTCTAACACCCTCTTCCTGAGACCATGAGGTGTGTTCTTTCTGGCCGCAAGGAATAAAAACTCCAACTTGCTTCATGGGATGTGTGTTCCTATTGATTTAGCTTAAGGGAATTACTGTCAGCTAAGGTTATGCTAGGTCTCAGGGTTCAATTTTTCACTCGTGTGTGGTGGCGGATTTCCCAAAAATGACGTACTTTTTCAAGGTAAGATTGCCCCCTGTACTTCATCTTTTCTTATCCCTGCTGTCTTCCTAACTATGGGAAATTGTATAAAACAAAATAGTGATATAAAACAATATACACAATATACACAAAACAATAGTGTATAAAACAAAAACAAGATAGACAGGGTTTGGGATTTAATAAGAGCTGTTGGGGCACCTGGGTGCCTCAGTCAGTTAAGCATCATCCCTCAGCTCAGGTCATGATCCCAGAGTCCTGGGATCCAGCCCCACATTGGGTTCCCTGTTCGGTAGGAAGCCTGCTTCTTCCCCACCCTCTGCTGCTCCCCCTGCTTGTGTTCTCTCTCTGTGTCTCTGTCAAATAAGTAAGTAAAATCTTAGAAAAGATAATGAGAGCTGTTATAATCCTGAACTTCTGGGGAATTGATGACAAGGACCCCAGGGTAGCAGGGAAAAATGGCTTTGGGCTTTTGGAGTTGCAAATGGGCACGTGCCAGAGAACAATACATGGTTTGGGGAGATACCTTAGCAACAATTTTGGCCATAATGGCCACAAAATCCATCATCCACCAGTCACTCTGTATACAGGTTATCCAGGTTTAATTTTGGCCAATGGCAACTATTTCAAGAAAGACCAGATAATTGCATAAGAGCACATCCAACAAATATAGGGATGATGTAAAAGGTTGTATTGCCAAATCAGGCCCCACTAATCATAAGTCTTACCCAGGATCAAGTTTTACTCACATTTTCAAAGGGAAATTGTGAGGTACCTGCAAAGCAACTGAGACCACTAATACTAACTGCAAGAACCGAATTCCCACATGAGGACATGCTCTGACCCAGGGAAAACATACATGGTCTCTAAATGTTGTGTGAGTTTACCACAGAAAGTGGAGCTCTTTGGGTTGATTTCCCATGGCTATGCTTACATAGCCGATGTGACTTTTTCTAGCGAATAAGGCCATATTAATCCACAGATTCTTAGTTTGTTTCCCTAAATAGTTCTATACACACCAAATCACCCTCCTGAAAGCATGCCAGGGACGGGCCTTCCCAACATTCACCACCATTTGGGTGTTCACCAACAGATTCCTCATGAGATGTTTACAAGGAAAATTGACCAGGACACTTTCTTCCCTCCCTCCTTCCCCCTTTCTTTTTTGTCTGTCTTTCTTTCTCTCTTTTTCTTTCTTTCCCTCCCTCCCTTCCTCCCTCCCTTCCTTCCATCTTCCTATCTTCCTTCCTATCTTCCTTCCATTCCTTCCTTCCTTCTTTCTTTGTTTTTCTTTCTTCCTTCCTTCCTTCCTTCCTTCCTTTCTTTTCCTTCTCTCCTTCTTTTTTTTCCTTCCTTTCTTTCTTATTTCCAGGCCAGATCCACTGAAGGGAAATGACCAAATGAAAGAACACAGTTTCCCTTCTTTTCCACACATTGTTTAGGTGGAGCTTGTAAATCAGCAAGAATCCAATAATTTCCCTAGGAAAATATATGCAGGGAAGGACAAGTTCCTCCATTACCCTTCAAGGTCTTCCAGCTTAACTAAGAATTTAGTTGACCTGAGATATTGAATATGCATGAAGAACTGATATTGAAATTCAGACCTTTAAAGAAATAGAAAGTATTAAGGCAGATATTTTTTATACATTTTAGACAAGGAGACAATACCTTTCCGAGGGACGTTTGGGAGCTCTAATTTGGAGTGAGTTCTATGCAGAATTCAGACCCTCTGCTTTAAAGGCCTTGGTGAGAAGGATGTCTTTTTACTTCTTAGTACAGGGGGTGCCTTTTTCATAGGGGAGATGGGTTTCCTGCTTTCAGGGAGACAGAGGAGGGTTTGAGTGTCCTTGCACCAGTTGCTATTCAAATAGCTACAATTCAAAATAATCAATATGCCATTATGGTACATATTGGGCAATCTGACCTTGGCCCCTATGGGTACCATGGTTTCTCTCAGCCTTGCTCATTACTCAGTACCTCTTTCAGAGAGAAAGCTAAACATATTATTCTTAGAAATACCAAGGGGCATCCA